CTCATTCTAAGGTAATGAAAGCACAACAATTCTTATTTCCAGGTGATTATACACGAGTGAAAACATACCTATGAATATTAGATTTAAATTCTGCCAACAGACCCTCTTAAATGTTACACACTGGACCTTTAAGAACCAATGCCTGGACTACAATTTACAAATTCCTTCCCACAGATTAGTCTTTGTAGACGAGACTGCGATCTATGTACACACCAAGGTACAGCGTTTACTTAACGCAGAGATGCATTATTACAACATATTAACAAGAACAAATGGACCAGCTGAAAACCTCATTAGCACACAATATGAATACAAACTATGAACACTTTGGATGAAATCTCCTCTCAGTGATCTCAGTATTATTGTCTTAACTCGTGTGCATGCTGACACCCCTGAGTGACTCAGTGATTCAGCAGCAGAGAAACAGCACACAGTCAATCACACGGAATGATCTAATCAGCAGGTCACATGACAAAGTAATGGCATTACAATAACAGGGAGCAGTATGTTATACACACTAAGGTCTGTTTCTGCCCTCACACACACACACACACACACACACACACACTGAATGACCGTCACAGATGAGCTGCAATAACTAGTTTAGCTGTATATAACACAGGATATCACTGTAACTCAGGCGTAATACAGTGAATTACAGTGGGATAAATACTACTTTAATAACACCACTGAACACCACACACACACACACACACGCTCTGTGAAAAATGTTACAGGTGTATTTCTGTTTAAAATCAAGTCTAAACTAAACCATTTTACTTTCACTTTCCTCGGGTGGGCCTATCCCGTGTGCGACTCTTGGTAAACACTGAAAAGTTAACTGGCAGTAACTTACACAACGCGGATGTGGTTCAAGCCGAGCCAAACTGCGTCACAACAAATGTTGAAGGAGAAATAATGTCTGAACTCACCTGCTGTCAGCTGCTCGACTAAACACAGGCTGGGTGTGTGCTCCAAAGACACACACAAACACTCCGACAGACGGAAAAATGTGTCGACCAACCTTGTGCTGCTGCTTCTGGTTTGGAGCTACGTCAATGTACGTAGAGGAAACACAGCGCTTCCGGTGATTGTTTTCAAAATAAAATCATAAACTTCAGTCTCACGGGGTTACAAAAACTGCGCAGAACATTTGCCAGATATTTTTATTTTGTTTTCAAAGGATACAGTAAAAATATATTTTTATTGGCCTTTAATGTAACGTATCTGTATAGGCAGCAATACGTGTTAAAAATGTGATTTGCCAAATATATGACAAAACAAATGTATTTTTTAAGATGTAACTTCGTTGTGTTACATTAAAACAAATAACCCCATGGGCTGTATTGCCTTTTGGTTATTAAATTCATTTAACTAAAAAAAAAAAGAAAAATTGCCTACTCTGTATATATTACCATAGGTGCCACATCCGCTACGAAAAGTAAACATTGTTAATGTTTTTTAATTATGACCAGAACATTTTTTCCAATTACATTTAAAAACATGTAAAAGAATAATATAGGCAAATGTGATCTGGACTAAATTGGGCTCAGCTTCAAGTACAAGCTTTTATCTTGAAGGCTGTTTTTGCCTTACTTCCTGTCCCCCACAGGCCTAATTGTCGCTGTGGCGACGCCGCTGTGACTCGTGCAGATTTACCGAAGGTTTTCATTTCCTCGAAGTGACGTCGCAGATCAGTGACTAGATCTCAGCGTGACCTGCGGCTGTGTGTGAGCGGAGCCGCGGTGCAGACAGATCCATCCGCATGTTCTACACATCAGGGCGAGTGTGACAGCTGAAGGCGGGGTCAGCCATCAGCTGCAGCGGGAATTCCCTTCAGGAGTCACCTTGCACTTTGAAAACGAGATAGGAAAGACTGGAGATTCCCTAAGTTACTCAGACAGTCGTGTTATAAATAATATTAAATATAAATTATAATAGGCTGATTAAAAAAATAATTAATCCTAATGTAATATCTGGCTATATTGTTTTATTAAAACATCAAGGCCACTATAGGATATTAAAGGAGTGCAATGAGCCTCCCAGTTTTCTTACCATCTTCTATTTTACAAAGTGGCCCATTAAGGCAAATATCAAACATTACTGAATTAATTCGATTTATTCAGATAATCTGTTATATAAAAAGAAATATATATACATGTTGTTCCTGGCAGTGTCCGTTAGATGGCAGTGTTGTCCAAGAAAAAAATCCTTATCAACTGTGCAAATTCACATCACTGAAATGTTTGATTGAGGTTAAACGAAACTGCTCAATAATATCCTAATGATAGTGTATAATGTGTGCATAGTGAGGTCTGCTGTTTTATGAACAGACTGCAGACAGCTGATAGACGCATACAGAACATCATGTCTGTTGTTGGTGCAGTAGACATTAGTAGTGTATAGAAGTGCATGCAGGGAATTTACAGGAGTAATAGTGGAGAGAATGAATCTCTTTATCATTTTCTTTATTTTATGTGTTCTACTGTGGACCAATGTTATTAATCAGTGATGTAATTGTGAAATGTATCCAGATTATTCACTTGGAAGCTCTTTAAAGAAGAACTTCTTCTGGACATAATCTCCAACATTAGAAACCACTTTCCTTATTTTCTGGGACTGATTGATTTTTCCATTTCCGAATCTCTTGGATGCTTTCATGCGCTCTAAGAAAAATGGAAATTTCTGCATCCAAAAGCAGATTTTCTTAGAGTAGTTCTATGATCACCTATAATCTGTCCACATGGTGACAAATCTAGTGATACAAAAAGTATGCTTGCGGTTTGCCAAGGAAGCCATAATTGCTGTATAATGTTTAGTAAACAAAATGATGAATGCATGTACTAATTGCCTTACAATGTTAATAATAGAATATCTTTATGTATATAGCACTTATCAAAACAAAGTGAGAAAGTTATTCACATAGCCAGCAATGGACACATAAAACTACATTGAAACAAATAAAAACACTGCAATAAAACAATAAAAAGTAATAAACAAAGGGCATAAAAATACAAAAATGTCTAAAGCCCTAAACAGAATAAAAACTAGAATGGGGACATTATTGGGTTCAACGGGTTTAAAATCCCTACGTTTACCAAACTTATTACAACTTACAACAACCTCACGTGGAAACATTAAGAGTCGGAGCGTCACATCAGTCCTTGAACGCAGCACTCCCGCGCTGTGGTGAAGCTGGTCTCTCTCCACTGCAGACAGATGAGATGGTAACACTGGGAGCAGCAACAGGTTGGGGTTGTTCAAGTTTCTGCATATTCTCTTTAAGAGTCTGCAGAGGAGAGAAGATCTGAGTATCTGCAGGTTCACAAATTCATCTGGTAGAATTTTGTGTAAAAAGTTTTTTTTTTTTTTTAGAGTTTTTGGTCAATTAGCATCCTCATGCGTCCAGGTAACCATCACAAGTTCTGTACACGCAACTTTTTTTGTTCTCATTTTTAATTTACTTTTAGCAGCTTGGATGCTTGACGGGACCTCCAGCACAAAACAATCGATTTTGATCAATTAGGAGATTCATATTTGTCTTCAGTGAAGCATCATCACAGGCTTTACAGACTTCCAGAAACTCCTCTCCGGATCTTCGGGATGTTTTCCACGGCTCTCCTCCTCGCAGCGCTCGGCCTTTTTGCGCATTTGGACACTTTTACGCACGGGTGCCAGCTCCCCTCCGAGTGGCGGCCGCTGAGCGAGGGCTGCCGGGCGGAGCTGGCGGAGATCATCGTGTACGCCCGGGTGCTGGCGATCCACAGGGAGCCCCTGGGCGGCGGGGCGGGCAGCCTGTACAACTCGTTGCCCTTCGGGTTCGGGTATGGGTACGAGGGCGCGGAGGAAGGGCTGCTGTACTCTGCGGAGGTGGAGTTGCTGTGCGACCAGGCCTGGGGCAGCATGCTGGAGGTGCCCACTGGATCAAGGCTCAACCTGACCGGACTCGGGTACCTGTCCTGCCAGTCCCACACCGTGATGGAGAACTACTCCTACTTCTTCTTCCTCAGGTGAGGCGCAAGGCTTGGGTACATTTATCCAAATACACACATTTGGACTCTAAATACTGATTCCAACAGTCTAGAAAGAAGGTTTTATTGTTGCCATTAAAATTAAACTGCAGCCCATAAAACTTTTTGCCAGACCAAAGTGCATTTAGCAAAGTATCGAATTTAAACTAACACTAATAACTCTCAGCTTGTGTTGGAGCAAACTGACCTAAAGTCAGATGTGTAAACTTTATTTGAATATAATTTTGAAGTATCCAAGTAGAGGCTGCACACATATGTCCACTATGAGACTTTCACTACATCTATCTGATGGTTGCTGCTACTGCAATTATTTTGCAAAGGTAGATTTTACCTGCAAAGCAAACCACAGGCTCATTAAACATGATGCATCTTTAACCTATGGAATGCATCAGTCTATATGAAACTTGCAAAACCATATTTGATTTTGAAAACTACAATTACTGCACAGGCCAACAGTTCCTGAAGCAGCTTCACCTTCCTCCTCACCGTTTTCCTGTTTATCTCCTCCGCAGGATGGACGAGAACTACAACATCCTGCCCCATGGCGTCAACTTCCAGGACGCCATCTTCCCCGACACGTCCGAGAACAGGCGCACGTTCTCCAGCCTCTTCCAGTTCTCCAACTGCACCCAAGGGAGCCAGCCCTTCCACACCTTCAGCCCTGAGTGGGACACCCAGGAGGACAGCAGGGTAGGGCATCACGTCGTTTTAACCACACACACCTTTTCATGTCTGATGTCCGGTGTGATTGGATAGTTGGTTGCCATAGTAATGCACGCTGCTTCCCTGAAAACCAAAATGAGTCCCATCTCCTTGTGCAACCTCACTGACTTCTGAGAAGAATAAGATTGTAAATGTCCCTTTCTTCAGTCTGGTCAGCTTGTTTTGGTGTTTGCAGAGGATGTAAACAAACCCGACACCATCTCGTTACCATGGAGATAACAGATTAACAGTCTAGACAAACAGCAGGGAGCATGGAACTGGAGGTGGGGGGACTAACAACAACTATTGTTAGGGTGTTGCTTCTGGACCTGAATATACCGGTGTAGCTAAAATATGAACTGAGTGCAGTGTGTGAGACTGCGGAGTGAGGTCTTGGTTTGTGTGTGTGTGTGTGTGTGTGTGTGGACACCTAAACCTGATCTGAGTTGTGACTCTGCTGACAGGAATGTGGTGAAGATCAGTAGAAACACAGTTTAACTGCCCTCTGACACAGTGCAGAGCCACACACACACACATACGCAATTAATCAAAACATACTTATACTCTTAATAGTTTCTCAGCATGTCATTGGTCAAATGAAGTCACGTCCTAGCCCGTTGAAGATCAAAGCAGTGGCTGATTGGTCAAGGTCTGGCTCCTCAGGCAGACAGGATACAGACTGTCCAGAGGTCAAAGGTCAAATAGCAGAGATTCACATCTTTGACAGGCAGCAGTTTAAAAGTGTGTCAGTCTGCAGCTCTGATTCCTATCAGTATTAAGCAATGTAGCTCGGCTGACCTGGGAGCAGAGATAAGCCGAGCTCTGTCCACAGAGGGAGAACGGTCTGCTGCTGTGATTCAGGCATTTATTATCTCACCTTCTTTGAGGGAGTTGAGCAGGTCGCAAGTCAGACAAGACACAACAAGTGCTGGAGATGGACCTACACTAGTCTTTGCCCTCCTTTAGAAAGGATACAGGTGCTGTTTAGATGCTGAAGAGGTTTTAATTTGGTCATTACATTATTATCCACAATTATTAGCCTTGACTTGGACTTGATTTGGATCAGACTTGAATGATCTGAGGCTTGACTTGGAGTTCATTCAGTTCGAGAACATTGAATGGTTCCAAATTACTCAAGACATGACATTGGATTTTTTTGTTTTTATTAATCTTGATTTATCTCCACTGACTTGAGACTTGACATGGACTTGTTAAGAATTCATTTTGACCTGTCTCAAATTACACAAGACAAATTAATTTTTACTTGACTTGATGTCAGATGATTTGAGACTTAACTCGGACTTCTATCAAATTAATCTTGACTTCACTTTTCTCAAGTGGCTTAAGACTTGACGTGGACTTTGTATTTATTTTTCTTTCCCTACATTTGTCTCCACTGACTTTAGACTTAGGTTTAACTCTGTTGACTTGGACTGGCTAACACATCACACGGCACACGCATCATTACAGCAACTGAAAAATCAACACATTTGCATCAATTTGTTTAATTTGACCGAAAATGTCAAAAATGTACATTTATAAGAATCAGTGCATTAACATTTGGGATGTTGCACTTTGCTCCTGACTGACCTGAACACTGCCTGCAGCATACATAGAGATGCCATTTATTGTTTCCCAAATGGAATTTTTTTTATAGTCGGCAGTCAAAACTGCAGAACTAAATCAGAAAAGGTGCAGTGGTGTGGTGTCACCCTCTCCCTGTTTATTCAGGTTTGACCTGCAGGGTGTGGCCTCTGAGCCATATGGACAAAGGTCAGTGAGGCAGGGGTTAAAGACGCTGCTCCTTTAGAGGACGAGCGCTCACACGTAGAGGCCGCGACCTTCAGGCAAGGCGGGACAAAAACAGGTGTTTAGCTCTGGGAATTTATCGAGGAGTATGACATGGGGGGGACCTTCTTCTTCCTCTTCATGTCTCTCTTTACACTTCCACGTTTCCCTGCCTTTTGTCTTTTGAATGTAAAAGTATCAGATTTGAAGCAAAAGGAAAACGATCTTCCCTTGTTTTCTTCTGTTTTGATTGGGCTGCAAATGAAAAGAAATTTAAAACAGCTGAGAAGAAAAGGATCTCATTTCTAACTTCGATATAATTTTGTTGTTTATTTTTGTCCGAAGGGATCTCGACTTTGTTTCCCTGAATGTCTCACTGATTTGAGGTTTCCAGACATCCTTCAGCTGCAGTTTAAACACAAAACATCCCTAAAATTGGGAGGTGGTTTGCTCCTGGTTTCATCCTCGTGGGAACCAGACGGCCCTCCAGAAAGACAGACAAGAGACTCCCTCCACTTTCCTGCCAGAACCTTCAATTAGCTTTTGTCAAAGCTTCCTCTTATCAGCAGCACTGAGAGCAGCGTTAACCAGGCACAGGAGGTAGAGACTGCTGTAAGCCCACTAATCATTTGTTTAGTACAGATTTCCCTTTTATTCTGACAGATATTTTACGTCTTTTTTCACATTTCACTTCATAGGCCACAGCGAGACAGAGAAGGATTCCCGAAATACTTCTTATTCAGCACATTCCCGTGTTTACGTGCACTAAATGATTTAATTATAACCCCAGTGAGGGAAAACTCTAGTTGTAACTGTCATGTAAACACCTTTAACACATTTTCTGACTCTCATTAACATTTTATGTGGACGCTTAGAGGGATAAAAGGAAGACAACACAGTCTGACTGTTACACTCAGTAGTTAAAGCTCCGGATGAATAGTGTGTGTGTGTGTGT